AATAACTAATTTAATAACTAATTATGTCATGTGTCATTCTATTGTTCTGCCATTTGGCTTCATAAGGTGTTTTTGTCTTCTGCTTTTAATTATAGATAGATAGATCTTTTTTTATTTTAATTATTTTAAAACTCCAACTTGAAACTATTCCCCGATTTGAATGGGTAGTTTTTCTTCTGTTTTTTTCCGTTTTTTATAGCTTTATTTTTTTTTGCTTTTTGATTTTAAAATAATTTAAAAATTCCAACTTGAAACTACTCCCACCCAATTTGAATGGGTAGTTATCTTTTCATATATTTTTTTATTTTTTTTATTATAGTTAATTATTAATATATATAGATAAGAAATCTATATTTATTAATTAAATTAAAGTAACCAATTAACATATATATAACCAATTATATATATATATATATATATATATATATATATATATATATATGGTAGTTTTTTAATTATTTTTATTTTTAGATATATTTAAATTAAAAAGAATAACCAATAACTAATTTAATATCTAATTATGCCATGTGTCATTCTATTGTTCTGCCATTTGGCTTCATGAGGTGCTTTTTTCTTCTACTTTTAATTATAGATAGATAGATTATATTTTTTTTTATAGTTAATTATAAGATATCTATATTCATTAATTCAATTAAAGTAACCAATATATATATATATATGGTAGTTTTGTATTTTTTAATTTTCTTCTTTATATATATTTAAATTCAAAAATAATAACCAATAACTAATTATTAATTAAAAATAACTATCAATTTGAATGGGTAGTTATTTTCTTATATATTTATATTTTTGTTTTTTTTATTATAGTTAATTATAAGATATATTTTTTGTTTTAATTATTATAAAACTCCAACTTGAAACTATTCCCCCATTTGAATGGGTAGTTTTTCTTCTGTTTTTTTCAGTTTTTTATAGCTTTATTTTTTTTTTGCTTTTTGATTTTAAAATAATTTAAAAATTCCAACTTGAAACTACTCCCACCCAATTTGAACGGGTAGTTATTTTTTTATATTTTTATTATAGTTAATTATTAATATAGATATAGATAAGAAATCTATATTTATTAATTAAATTAAAGTAACCAATTAATATATATATATATATATATATATGATAGTTTTTTTAATTATTTTTATTTTTTAGATATATTTAAATTAAAAAGAATAATCAATAACTAATTTAATAACTAATTATACTATGTGTCATTCTATTGTTCTGCTATTTGAATTAATGAGGTGCTTTTGTCTTTTGCGTTTAATTATACAAGAATATTCGATGAGTCAAAATTTTGAACCGTTGGGGGGTGAATGACGTGTTATAGCCAATAGTTATATGACACGGCAGGCGTCTTTATCTTTTGCGTTTTGGGGCCTAAAGTAATATTTGGAGAAGGGGAAGGACTAACAAATTAAATAAATTTTAGGGGTCTACAAAGTAAACTAAACTAAACGTCTACATCTGCCGACAGCCTATAATCAGTTTGTACTTTGTATGTAAACCTAACCTAATGAATGCCTACTCTCCCCTCGGATACAAGAAGATCTATATCAAAACACTCATCTTTTCTTTATCTTATATTTCTAATCTGAAGCGTTATGCCTACTTCTCCCAATGAATACCTCAATTCAAAACCAAGATCTACCCTTATAAAAAAACACATCTTGACTGCAGATTTGAGGTTGGTTAATTTGTCATCACTTTTAATTTTCTCCATAAAATGCTGATTTATTTTCTTGGTTCAGAACATAATTTCACTCCTTTTTTTGGTTCTAATTCGTTCGTATGAGTTACTGATTTAGGTATCTGTTAGATCTTATATAATGGAATTCGGTTATGATATTATAATTTAATTTGTTTATTTGTAGCAAGGTTCAATTTTTATTGGATGAAGTATCTTCAAAAAATTCCCGATGTATTATTTGTGCCTAAATTTATTCTTGTTGTATTTTGTTTGGTTGAAATTGTTTGTTATGATTATCCGAACAAATGTTGATTTAGATCTTAAATAATGGATTTTTGGTTGTTTTACTTGAAATCTAATTATTATTCTTTGGTTAGTATCAAGATTTACTTTTTAGTCGTTTTACAAATTATATTTTCCTCTTAAATTTCCAATCTTTTCTATTGTTTTGGAACTGATATTTTCTCCTTTTGTTTTTGTTCAAATTCTTTGGTATGAGCTGCTCATATTGTTTTGGTTTATATCTTTTGTAATGCATGATAGGTTTTTATATCACTCTATTTGACCTGACTTCCATAAAATTTCTGTTTTAGATCTTTTCTCATGGTCGTTTTATTTTGACAATAGGATTCACAGTATTTACTTTTGTATGCTCAGACTGCAGAAAACAGTCCAAAATGCAGAAATCTATATATAAATCCCACCTTCTAAGATTTACGATTGCAGTCAAAATAATGTCAAGTCAACAAAATAGCTCCACAAGCTGCTGACTTATGGCTTAAACTGTAGCCCAAAACTGCATATGTTTTGCAGCCATAATAGTGCTGAAATTTGGCTTCAGTTGAGCAGATAGCCCTTGGTTACAACTGGAACCAGAACTATAAGTTTGCTGCTAAATTGCTGATCAAACACAGTTGATTTTGGACTGTTCAGCAACATAAAAAATTATGCATCAATCAGTTGAACCTTTGTTTTGATTAAGGTTGAAGCATTTGATATAATGCATCAACAATGTCCCGCAGCAGTATTAAGGTAACAGGATTAAAACTCCAAACTTTCAACTCTTGTTCATCTGGTTCATATTTGAGCATCTTGAGCTACCTGAGCAGCCTGAGCAACCCTAGCACGGTTAGCAGCGTCCTTTTGCCGTTTGAGAACACACTCCTTCTGCAAGTGATTGGCAAGTTCAGTCTGGTTGGGCAGTTCCTTTTTACACCATGAGCAGCTTACCACTATCTTCACAACCTTGTTTGGTTCTTGTGCCTTTGGTTTTGCCATGATCTGTTAATCAGAACGTTGTCAGTGTTTTTCAAATTTTATTGAAGTTGTACAAGTTTTAGTTGTAAATAGTCCTAAAAAACTTATATAAATCAGCTAAACAATGTCTGAAAAACAGACACTAATCACAACGTAAAACCGGCCCAAAAACGCTCACCTCTAGAACAGCTGTGAACCTGTCCCTTGTTCCATAAGAAAACACCTTAAAATTCTAGTGGCTGCTGGTAGCTAAATTAGTGGGACAGATTTTCCATCCCAATATTCCTTCTTCCACTTCCAGAAAAATTCTAAAACCATTTGCTATATAAAGCTAATTTTGGACAATTGAGCATTGGGCAAAGTACAAGACTTCACTATACACACAGACATGGCCAACAACTACAATCAATTTCTCCTTCTGTTATTACCTTTACTTCTTCACATTCACTATGGTAATTCTTCTTGTACTTCTTTCAAATCTTGACTAACTTCTAGACCAAATACAATTGTGTTTTAAGCTATGTTGCGTGAACGCTCCAAAATGATGTCGTTCCCGTGTTGGATCCTTCAAAAATACATTACTTTTGAAGGACCCGACACACACCCGGCAACATTTTTAGAGAATCGGAACAACATAGATTTTAAGCTGGGAGATACTCAATTCTAGTACTAAAAATTTGTTTTCAAACCTATATTAGTGTAAATAAATTTTACACCATCTATGCAATTTAACATGTTATTGCTGGTTTTTTTACTTTATTTTCCATGTTATCAACTTAACCATCTACACAAACATATCATGCTTATAATTATAAAAAGTTACTACATATTATTGTATGCAACTCAACCTGATGGTGTAACACTATTTTATGTACACTATCATTACATAAAACTTAAATATACTATAGAAGAGACTATTCGTAACCTTTTTCGCTTATTTTCCCTAGTAGTAAAGATCATCTATTATTGTACTAATTGCTGAGTTTTAATTGCAGTAAGAAGTGAACTCCAATTGAACTACTACTCAGAGAGTTGCCCAAGAGCTGAAGAAATAATCAAAGAACAAGTGGCACAGTTGTACCACAAGCATGGCAATACAGCAGTTTCTTGGATCAGAAATCTTTTTCATGATTGCATGGCTAAGGTAAATATTAATTAATTCTCCAATTAAAAGTAAATTAATAACACTGCTAGCTACAACATTTTACAACAATAACAATAAACTCAATGAAATTCTATAAGTGGGGTCCGAGGAGGGCCCCACTTACTCTACTTTAAGAAGGTAGAGAGGTTGTTTTTGATAGACATCGGCTCAAAAAAAGATGAAAAAGCAGTAACAACAACAAGATACCAAGAAATCTGAAGCAAAAATTAATAAGAAAACAGCAGACCAATTTAAAGTAAAAACTATAAACATTATGACCAATTTGAATACTAATATGCTTTTTTCTTTGCAGTCATGTGATGCATCAATATATTTGGACACAGCAAATGGACAGGAATCAGAGAAGGCATCTCCAAAAAACTTTGGAATGAGAAATTTGAAGTATGTATTAAAAAGGCACTTGAGAGTGAATGTCCTAATCCTGTTTCTTGTGCTGATATTGTTGTTCTTTCTGCTAGAGTTGGTCTTCTCTGGGTAAGTTGATCAAAATTATTTTATATTGTTAGTGTATTTTAATTTGTTGAAGTAGAGTTTTAGAGCAACGGTAAAATTGTACTCAGCTTGAAAAGAAAAGAAGCCTCAAGTTGATAAGTCATCATGTTCGATAATTTCGAAAGAAGAGTTGAGGGCTGATCTACAACCACGCTATCACTCATGGCACACATGCTATATGTGTGATGCCGACACCCTGATTTTGATATCCACTCTAGACTATTTACTTTATTTATGATCTTCTAACAGCCATCACGTTATTTTATAATAACTATGCTATTTATGTTAAAGTTAGCCCAATTTTCCTTCTTCCACTTCCAGAAAAATTCTAAAACCATTTGCTATTTAAAGCTAATTTTGGACAATTGAGCATTGGGCAAAGTACAAGACTTCACTAGACACACAGACATGGCCAACAACTACAATCAATTTCTCCTTCTGTTATTTCCTTTACTTCTTCACATTCACTATGGTAATTTTTCTTGTACTTCTTTCAGAGTTTTAAGCTATGTTACGTGAACTCCAAAATAATATCGTCCCCGTGTTGGATACTCCTAATATCGTTCCCGTGTTGGATACTCCAAAAATACGTTACTTTTGTTGGATCCCATTTGTCTCTCCCTCTACGAAGAAAAGCTTGAGGCAACTGAATGTCTTGCAATTTTTTTGCTTGCTATCATCTCTCTTCACAATTTTACGAGTCTTTAAAGGAATTAAGAGTTGGTTTCTTTAGATATAGTGTGATTATTTTGGATTCTTTATATTTTCTTCCAAGATTTCTGGGGTCAAAAAAATATGAAATAAACCCAGCAACAGCATCTGCTCGTCAATGGTGACATCAGTCGCAGTCCAAAAGCATAAAACTGATCGACCGATAATGATCCTCTATTCCTAAAGACAAACCACAATCAATCACAGAAGCAAGTCTTATCAAGATTCGTCCATAATCATATATCTCGAATTCAAGTATTACAATAAATTTTTGTTTGGTAGAAAGTGCTTTACGCTGATGTAGGACTGTATGGTGGGCCGGGCCCGAACCGGGCCGGGCCCGTGGTCCTAACGGGCCTGATGGGCTGGTCCAGGTAGGTCGGTCTTAATGGGTCTTTAAAGCCTGTGGTGGGCCGGGTCTCCTTAGAAAGCCCACGAGCTCGGGACCAACTGCCTAAGTTGGGCCTGGGCCGGGCCTAGTGGGCCTTACGGCCCCCAAACATTATTTTAACAGGTCTAGCCGTTTGGGCTGCAATTTTGACCGTTTGGATGTTTAGAAAATAGCCATTTGGCCCCCAAACTTTATATAATTATACTTTTTCCCAATTCTCAACTATAAATACCCCCTCATTCTCTCAACTAGAATTGCTTATTTTATTGTTGAAATTTCGTGAAAAATTGTGAAGTTGGTGAATTCAAGTCTTCAACGATTTTCAATTTTCAAGAAGTTCTGCAATTCGGGAAACGCGTTCCAACTCTTAAGTTTTAATGTTATAGTTTTGTTAGTTTTATTTAGTATAATTATAATTAATATGACATTTTCTTTGTAAAATATTTTTGGTGGTAAGGGTAAAATTAAAATTGGTGAAAGTAGTGGCCAACCTACTACCCTTCCCCCGGCTCCCCGACCGAGATCTGGTAGACGTCCTGCTGCTCCTATTATTCTTGATAGTGATAACCCCTGTTTTCAATTTTTCGATAGTTAATTTTGCCATAATGTTGCACCATGTCAAAATTTAGATGATGAAACTATGAATGCTCTTTATCCTAATGATGAGGAAAATGAGGATGAGATGAAACCCAACCGGATTTAGATGATACACCTACTAATCCTGTTAATAACCCAATTGATGTACCGTCTGACCCATCTGTAGAAACCCCTAGTTTTAATAGACAACCTTCTAAACGCCTAGNTATATATATATATATATAACATACAATATATACTATAAGAAAATATATACAATATATACTACAAGAAAATCTCTATATATATATATATATATACTATATATACTACAAAACAAGATTTTTCAAAATGAGGGCCCTACCCCCAATGACCACCAACGGCCATATTGGACAAATAGCCCGCTAAGCCCACGAGCCTGGCCCGTTTAGCCTAGGACCATATGGGCTTAGGCCCGTCATGGGCTGGTTCCACCCGTTGAGCCCATAAAGTTCGGGACCGCCAGAGCCCGGGATCGCTAAGTCCAGGCCCGTTAAGCATGGCCCATTTGGCCCATTTGGCCCATTTAGGCCCGGCCCAGCATACAACATTACCCTGATGGCAAGATTAGTTGGATCTTCAAAATTCTCTCAAATTATTAGATTTTGAATTGAACATAGAAAGGCGTCTAGCGTGAGTAAATGCTCAATGGAGCTGTCAAAGTATTGTATCTTTAAATTTACTTTGGTTGTTCGTATTGTAGCAATTATGGAATTTAGTTAAATAAGTTATGATGTCGTATACTTGTTATTTTATACACACCGTAAAGCGTGTCAAGTGAAACGTACCCGTAATTCATAACATGTTTATTTTATTATTTGAAATTGTAAAGTCACGTTGCGTGAATAAGCACTTGAATTTTGTATTTAAGTATCATAACTATGTCACGGAAATCATACTCATAATTAAAATAATTTATTTTTAATCGCGTCCTACGATGTTCAAAAGTTGGTTATCCTCCTAAATTTGAGACTGAATGGACGACCAAAGTTTATGGAATTCATTTGTTGTGGGGCAAGTATAAGACTTACTAAACGGAGATTAAAGAAAATCATAATTAACTACTTGATTTTGTTTGTGGATTACGGACTATTACAAGATGTTCAAAAAATAAGATTGTTTACCCAAGTAAAAGGGGCTACAACACGAAAAGTTCTAGCATAATATAGTGGAGAGGTGCACCTGCCTATGAACTTCTAACATATTATGCTAGAACTCCAACATATTCCAGCATAATATACCAGAAATTGGAACATATATGTATAAACTTTGAGCATATAATGCTGGACCAATATATTATGCTGGAAGTCCAGTATATTATGCTGGAATATTTTTCGGATTTTGAACAGTATTTTCGTTTAGATTTATCTTTACATGAAAAGTGACTAAATTTTAATTACGTTTGAAACTGCGGCTATTTTTCAATTACCACTTGTTAATCCGGCTATTTTGAATTTCACCTGGTAAAAGGCCGTTGACTAAAACTGTGAGATTTAATTATATGGGCTCAAACTAGTGGCCCAGGTTCTAAAGCTCATGTGAGAAGGGGCCAGCGTGTAAACTGGAGCTAACTGGGCCGCGAGATATTGGCCCAGTCGGGTGGGGCAAGGAATTATTCATTCTTGAGCGTGATTTGCGAATGGGCTTTTCCAGTTGAGAGAGCAGCCCACTACCATTCAACATGCTCAATCACAGATGCCCAAAAGATTAAAGTTAACAAGTTTAAGATAACAAGATCTGACTATTAATTAAATTTACATAGCTACACAACATAAACAACTAAAAACATCATGAATTTATTGGAATGATTAATTTACATAGCCAGGCGAAATAAACAATTAAGAACACGATCAATTTATCTGAACAATGTTGAACTAGTTATGACTGTTGCTAGTTTGGCTTGAACCAGCTAATACAAAAAAAATCAAATCCCTAAAAGTCTCTTAACAATACACAAGGAATTACTTGGATTGTCTAACACTTGAATCAACAATTCAAAATACCAGAATCCAATATACTTCAACAGACGAACAAACTCCATATCTTTGCTAATTCATTAAGTTAGTAGGCTGTGAATTGTGAACTCCTCTCCTCTAGTTGCTCAACAAGTTTCAAGCTCATGCAGAGATATATTAAGCAAAGACGAAACTTAAATTAACAGAGACTCCTCTCCTCTAGTTGCTCAACAAGTTTCAAGCTCATGCAGAGATATATTAATCAAAGACGAAACTTAAATTAACAGAGACTTTAAATCACTTTCATGAGTACAGTTTCAGTCAATAGGAACAATATTCTCAACAAACTACTCCACAATTATTATACTAGACCAATTCGAAGCAGCACATCCAAACAACAATCACAAATAAACCAAAATAATCATGATTTCACATTATGCTAAAATCAGAAAAATACAGATACAAAGAAAACATACCTAGTTATGCTAGGATTGAGTTTAGAAGCAGAAGAAAGCCAAATAAAACCAAGTGGACAGATTTGAGTTCAGCAAAGGATCACAGCAACAAGCGCAGCAGTTTTACCCCCAGAAATCCAAAACAAATGGAAGCCAGCAGCAAACAGACGAAAACAATTGCAGAATTCCTTCTCTTTTACTACTCTTTCGTGAGAATTAGAAAGAGAGTACGAGAGAGAGTGAGTGAATAGAGGGAATGAGATGTGGGTGAATATCTGCGTGAGTGTGAATGATAGTCGGTGTGCTGACGTGTGAGGGGAGAGAACTATTTTATAACAGAATGCAGCAATTTCTGTTATTTCTGTTTCTTTTTTACTCCCCCCGTTTCTGTTTTTTACTTGCTCACCCCCGACCCCTTCACTTTCCTATTGCAAATTAGTCCTCAGATCCCTTTCTAGAAGCTTCAAGTCAATTGCATGACATGTTTTTCTCAATTTTAAATCTTCTGCATACCCCTAAAAGTCTTGATATTCACCCTAAGGTCCCAACTTTAAACTGTTGGGCCTATCTTCCTCACACAATACAGGCCCAATTTTAGACTAAAATGAACCGCCTGAATCAAAGCTCATGCTTAATTGAAATCATCAAACATCAATTAATGATTAAACAAAGGAAATTTTACCACCTATAGAATAGGTTAGTACCCTATTTATATTCTATAAATACCCTTTTAAAATATTACATTCTATAAATACCCTTTTTAGTTTATAGCAAAAAATCTAAATTTAGTTCCATCCTAAAATTAAGGCTTAATATATGCTACAAAATATTTTTCTAATCTCATTTTTTTTATTTTCTCTCACCTAATTTGCGTATATCTCCTCTCATCAGCTTTTCTCTCTCTTCTTCAATACACTTTTCCCTCTTCTCCCACAAACACACGTTCCATACACTTCCAAAACCCTCCTCCGCCATTATCGCCCCAAAGGATATTCTTCTTCGCAAGCTTCACAGTTGTATTTTGGAAATTTTCTCCCCGTAGGTAATTCTTCTTCGCAATTGCTTTTTCATTAGTTTGTTTCTATAAGTTTTTTTAGCGAATTTACACAATTTTCTGATATATCTTCCATTTGTATTGTTAATCACCAGGATTCTTTGAGTTTTCTCTCTAATGTCGGATGCAACGCCACTCAACAGACTACCCAGAGGTATACCCACCAAAATTCTCTATTTTGATGGGCCCTCTTTCTCGTTGTATNTCTCGTTGCAACTGACTCAAGCGGAGAAAGATTTTGCAGGTTTATCAGCATCCAAAGTTGATGAAAGAAGAAGTAAATTACACAATGACAAGTTGAAAGAAGTCCAAGTTGATGAAGCTTCAAAAGAAACCAAAAATCAAGTTGGCTCAAAGAGGAAAAAACCTATGAAAGATTCAAGAAACCAAAAGGCAATTGGTATTTGTTACATGTATTCTGTTGTATTCATATCTATCCNTAAGCTTATATACATGAATACTTGCATACATATTAATACATTTTAATACATTCAGAATACAACAAAGTTAAATACACATGAATATAGCATTATACAGTTATGCATTAATATGTTTTTTGTAAGTCATAACTTATTTTTGTTCACAGATTGTGTTCAAGGACATCACTCCTCTAGATATAGAGCTTGCTGTTTTTCAGATTCCTCAAGTGTGCGCCGATATTGAGAAAATACCTACTCCTGCGCATTCAGACAAATCGGGACAGGATACAGATGACTTTTCTCCTACACCCAATCTTCAATCTAAGAAGAAACATGTTGAAAGTGTTGGTCCATCTTCATCACCGCCACATAAAAAGGTCAAGGAACAACCCAAGATTCCTACAAAAGAACCAGAATATCAGCCCAAAGTCCCTCCTGTTTGTCTTTCTGACATTGGACATAAAGTTGTGCATGACCATCAGCTCCCAGAAGGCCAAAATGAGGACCCATCTTCTTTGAGGAAAGACCTAAAATCATTCAAAGAATACGTGAGTATTTACCCACCGATTAATCAATAAAGTTTGATAGCTATGTGTTTTAGTATTTTTCTAACTATTTTGTACTGTTAAGGTTGTTGGAGAGTTCAAGTCTCTAAGGACATTGATCAATGATAACTTCAAGATGCTTTCAGACCAACTTCAACAAAATCAGCAAACTGAACCCATAGTGAGACATGATGGTGGCATTGACACAGATGTCGGAGATAATAATGAGGTATAAAAGCAGTTATCATATTGAACATATGTATTTAGCTGTATTCATATATGTTTTAATCTATCCATTTCACTGATGTATTTAACTGTTATTCAGCTATATATATATATATATATATATATGTATTCTGACTTTTAAATCTTAACATATTGAGCATATTTTTTTAAATGTATTCATAATTGTGTTACACTTAATCTGTAATATCACTTTAAACTGCCGTATTTATTTTATTTCAACTGTATTTACATGTATTCTGCTTGGTTAATCTGCATTTTCTGTAATGTATAC